TAAATTACCAAATCAATTAAAAACTTGATTTCTAGCATTCTACAAACCTCATTTTCACTGTAATCTATTGCGCGGTTGCTGTTCTAATAGTCTTGTCATGAACTAGCATTTCCCACCAAGTCCTGCAGTTTTAAGGTGTTACTCTGTCAGAGCGTTGTTATCAAGCAGCAGAGCCAATAACTTCTGCAATCCTGCAATCTGTGCACTGCCTAGATCAGCTGAAAACGAGCAATGTCAAATCTCAACTTTAGTGATCAAATTTCCCCCTCGTCTGCTCGAGGCTACGTCTTCCCTTGGGTTTCCACACAGCTCATTGAGCAAAACAAAACAGAAAGGGGCCTCTGCACAAAGGAAAAGCCTGACATGATTAACTAGCTCTGCTGGTAGTGTGTGCAACCCACCCAGGTGTCTAGACAGCTTGAAAAATACAGCTTGTGTGCAGGAGCAGCAGCTGTTCCTGCTCAGCCCTCCTGCTTTGGACCTCAGATTACACAGGGATAGACTGTACCAGCATTAGGTGATGCCCTTCCGAAGGAAACAGCCACCAGATGAAGATCCTGCTTCAGGAGGTGGCACTTTACCTGCTAGATCAGACGTTCTCACGCGGAGCTGGAGCGGATCATGCGCTCCAAGGCACTTGATCCAGGAGGAGCTGGGAACAAGGAGCTTGGCTGGGGGAAGCCCTCAGCAGTTGGGTGTAAAGGAAAACGAGGAGCAGCAGCACCTGTGTCCTGGCCTGGTGCCAGCACAGGCAGCTGCTCCTCGCCTGCCCACGTGCCCTGTGCAATAATAAATGGGAGAGCAGGTTTCACACAGGGAAATGTTTAGGTCCTGCTCGATAAGAGTTAATGGCTTAGAAGGATCCGAGAGGGAACATGGACAGGTTCCCGTGGGTGTTTCGGAATCCCTTCCAACAAGGTGCCCTCTGGAAGGCTATGCAGAAGCAGCGTGTGTGTCCCCAGGGTGCACAGGCACCCCAGGGCGCGAGCTGCCGGCTTCAGAGCACCCTCACCTCTTCATACAGGAGATCAGAGGAAAACGCAGAGCTAGGGGCCAAGGATGAGTGCAGACACAGGCCCCAAGCAGCAAAAAAAGGCAAGTTTGAGCACAGCAAAAAACACAGCGCTGCCCACACGAGCCCATGAGACCCGAAACCACCTCAGCCCACGGGCACTGCGAGGAAACGGGAGCAGCTCCCGGAGAAGGGCAGCTCGTGCAGCAGACACGGAGCCACCACACGGAGCACCAGGACTTGTGTCCCCCCTGCTACACATGAGTGGGACCGTGGAGATGCCGCCGGAGCGGAGCGTGTGCGGGGAGAGCGTTACGAGGCCGTGAGCAAGTTGTAAAACACAAGTCAGACAAAACATCTGGCAGCTGCTTCGAATAGTTTTCTGTCTGAAGGGCAGATGAGCCCGCAATGGTCTCAAAGCAAAACACGTGCAAGGACAGGATCAATGCTTCAGCGCGTAAGCACAGATTGAATTTTGCGGCCTTCAATATTGTTTCTGTGCCAAAAAAAAAAAGTTGTGTTCTGGGTTAGGTTTTTAATTTTAATAAACTTAACTAAATAAAACCCTAAGTATTTCCCTTTCCAGTCAAACACAACCTCGTCTTTGGCATAAGATCAACATTAGCTCCACATGGGAGAGAAGGCACAGGACAGGAGACTGCGATTGCCTTAAGGAAGCAGCCCAGGTCTTTCTGTTCAGAAAGTTACTCACACTCAGGCCCATCATTTTACTGGCACTTCGCCTCAGTTGTGCAGGCAAAGGAGAGGTCCCTGAGATTTTCTGCATTATTGACATGGCCAAAACCACAGCAGGGGCACTCGCCAGCCCAGGGCATGCACCAAGGCCCAACTCACGGACCGGCCTTTCCTCTCCAAGCAGAGCCTGCTAAAGGACCGTGACTTCCTTTCTCATCACCTACCAAAGGCCTTCAGTGAAAACTTCCCCCTTGCAATCCAGCTACCAAGGCCAGAAGCCTCCTATAAGCCACAGAGCAGCTCCACACGCGCTAACATTAGTCAGCGAGAGCAGGGAGATGAGACACCGGCCAGCAGGACAGGGCTGGGTTTCAAGGAGACCCTGATACAAGCAGGACCTGGGAATTTTATTGCTGCTCGGAGCAGGGAGTAGCCCTGGCAGCCCCAAACCAGCGCAGGCACCCGCGGAGATTCATTAGGACTCGCTAATCTGTGATATCATTTGTTGACTCCAGCAGGTCCAGTCCTCATCTCATGACTTCCTGCGTCGTCACCATGGCACCATACATAAACACTGCGAGCGCCCAGCCCCGAGCAGGTCATTTATTTCAAATATTCCATGCAGCTGGAACACGAGCCTGTTTGGGTGTCTGGAGCGGAGCATGAACTAATTTCTCAGTCTTCTGCACTCGCCCCACCTCGTGGGCCCTCCCCTCCAGCTACGCTCCCAGCTCCGGAGCAGCCTTCCCTGCAAGGTAAAGCAAAGCTGGATTTGCCCACAAATGGGTAGAAAAATAAGCGTTATCCCACCTGCAGCAAAACAAACCACTGCTGACTTAAATATGCTGGCTGTTGAACTTCGCATTCACAAATTGTTCTCAAAGGAGGTGAAGCCTCTCTCAAATCTGAAAATCCTTGCCCCAGTGGGAGAAAAAGGCAAGAAACCACTTAAAAAACACAATCACCCCCCTGCCCCAGTGCTCTTGTTCCCCAGCAGATGGGCAGCTCGGCCGCAGAGGGCTGAGCTGGCGCTGAGCTTCAGTTTGTAGTAGTTGAGCTGATGAAATCACTTGCTTTTCACACCCAAGCTGGGAGCTGCAGGAAGGCAGAAAATGTGAGCATGGGAAGGAGGAGGAATAGGAGCCTTTGCCACCACTGGAGAGCACAAACCCATCTGGCCTCGAGTCATTTGGAGACGTAACCTACCTGCTCTACTGCATGACAGCGTCTGTGTCCTGCCCTGCAAAAGGCACCGTGAGGAAGCAGGAGGAATTGGCACTCTACAACCAATATCACCCACAGCTCCTGACAGCGCAGGGATGAATCCTCCTGTGCCAAACAGGTTGCAAACTGAACATTTACTGACCTGTGCATTGCAGCAAGTTCAGCTCCATAAGCAGGGCCCTGAGCACAGCCTGAAAGTGTCTTAGCCAACCCAGAACAGCCATTTCCAGCCACCAGTGGCAGATGTGCAAGAGCTCAGCTTCTCACACCACCCCCCCTGCAGTGCCCAGTGCCCCATACACAGCCCCCAAGGCAACAGCAACTCAAGGTGGCCTTTTAATGGTGACAAGGCTGCCACCCTTTGCTCCAGCTGCCTGCGATGGGCCCTCTGAGCAAGCTAAGCATCCATCCAGGGAGCAAGGATTACATCATGCATATAAAAACCAGCACCAAGTAATATTTAATAAATTTTATTAGGTTACTGAATGTTATCTACAGCCATAAAATAGAAAGTGAGAATTTAAAACTGTACAAAGCGACGTACTAGGGAAAAGTGAGAGGAGACGGAGACGAGAGCGCAGAGAACACGAGGTGGGAAGAACACAGCTGCTTCCCTGGAGCTAACGGAAGACACTGGTTCAAGTTGAAGGCAACCAAGCAGGGCTCCATAAACACTGAGTTTTCTTGTGCAACTTGTGTCCCACCCTGTAACAGAACCTAGTACAAACCCCTATGTTAAAAAAAATTATACAATTTTTTTTTTTTTTTTTAAAAAAAAAAAAAGGGGGCACATTGCACCCCACCCAGTCTTGGCACCAATTCTGTGCTTTAAAAAATATACTATGCAAGTAGTTTATTTTTAAAAAAGGTACCCTACAGCAGCTGTTTAAAACATGGTACTTATACATACACCACAAATATATATTAACATTTTCAACAACTAAACTCATTTGTACCTACACAGAACCGAAGGAATAACTCAAGAGCAAAAAACCAACCACACAAACATTTTTTTTCAAGACAAAAATGTGCAAAATAACCCCAAGAAAGGCAGCATAGTAGCCTGTGGAGACACCAAGAAAGAGCTCTGATCCCTCTCTTTACTTGGCTACTGAGGCAAGAATCTTTATTTGGGATGTGCCGATTTTGCCAGAATCGCTTGTCCTGTTTATTGCGGTTCTCCCCACCCTGCTCCCTTGTCCTTTTCTTTTTCCTGGGCCCAAAGGTCCCCCCGGGGTCTGGTAAAGCCTCACGAGTTCCATCACTCTGCAGCAAGCACCAGCTCCTGGATTTCCAGGCTGCTGGTGGCAATTCTGCTACCTCCCTCCGAGGCTTCTTCCCATCCCCGAGCAAGGAACAGGGAGAACTATTCCCGCTGCGTAGCTAAGAGGAGAGGAGGCTGCCGTGACAGGACAAAGCCTGGTTGGAGGACTTTAAGCAGCTTATTGAAGAGAATACCCTGGCAGAGACATTAGAGTAACACTTCAGTATGTGTTTCCAAAGGCCTGGCAAGAACAGGCTATGCAGAAAGCAGACATCAGAAGGCAGGACCTATAGCTGTGCAACAGCTCAACCACCGTGGCTTCTATTACAGGACACGTTTGTCCTCTCCCTGTCCACACAATGGGGAGAAGCCCCCAACTCCAGACTAAAACCTGCAGTTTTAGGTCTATAAGAGGGCAGGTGAAGACATGAGGCGCCCGCTCAGTCACACCAAGGCAAGGCAGGACAAACAGCAGGAGACCTGGGAAAGTGACAGTGGCAGAAACAAGAAAGCAAGATTCACTGGCTATTAAATAACCTCAGAACATGGCGAGAAGCCCTAGCACAGACAGACATCAGCTACATAGTCACCTTCGCCAGGTTAAGTGACCTGGTGGAAAGGTTTTTGGTTTTGGTGTTTCAGGATTTTGTTGGCTTTATTTTTGGTTTTAACATCCCACTGAATTCCTCTCGGTATTCCAGACTCTCCCCAACTCTACCGGCCACCCTGTGCCTTCCCATTCTTAGCACCCGGTCTTAAACCTCCATCCTACCACCTTCCCTTCCCCTAAGCTGCCTTCTCCCCTTTGGCTGACACAGAGGAATGTTTCACTCCTAGGCTCTACAATCCCAAGCATCCAGCACAACCTATTTGGAAAGCAGGGAAGCACAGAGCTTCCGTAAAGGTTCCTTTTGCAAGGGTGCAGGAAAAGCACCTTCCAAAGAGCAAAATGCTCATTTTAGGGGTGAAACAAGTATCATTTGAGAATTTGCTTTAGCCCTGATGGGGGTGCTTTGGCCAAGGAGTTCCAACAGCAGCGATGACACGAGGGTGGCAAACCCGTTGCCCAGTGGGTCAGCTCCAGGTTGCTCGTCTGGGTTCCAGCTCCGTCCTTGAACACCAAGGTCATTGGTAGAGCAGGTAACTCTTGAGGGACGCTGGCAGTGGCAACGCAGGGATCTCATTCAGTCTTTCCTTGCCCAGAGCAAGCCTCACCGCTCGCCGGCACAAGTCCATCAGAGGCAGTGGTTCAGCTGGAAGAAAAAAATATATATATATGATGAGCATCTCAGCCCATGAGCTGCACATTCACTTTCCTAGCTTTAAAAATCCCCAGAGAAATCAGTGAGATGTGAATGCAAGGCCTGTTCACAAGGCCCTTCAGCACTCAATCAGCAACACGAACATGTCAAAACCACAGCCGAAAGTGACTTTCTGTAAAAGGTATTTAGAGCCAAACGCTGCAAAGGAAAAGGTATTAGGATCCTTTAAGGAAGTTACCTCTAATCGATACCATTCAAGGCTGAGACCAGAGCTCGTGCCTCTCCTTGCAGTATCCAGCCATCTTTGTAAGGGGGTCACCAAAAATAAAAGACTGCAGCACAGTTTGATAGCACCATGTGCTATAAGCACCCAGAAAGGACCGTAATTTGTGTTTATTCTCTAGTAGTGTAACAGCTGCCAGCCCCTTCATCCTACTGCATGATCCCCCTGTGATCAGTAAAGCCATCTGTTAAACTCCATGTCACTGCACTTGAACATGCTGTGACAGCTTCCCTCAAAGATTCCCCTCTGCATCACCCCCATGCCTAGGAAAAACACAAGCTTTGGGCTACCATGTCCTGCATTTTAAACCCTCAACAGGAGGGTGCAAAGTTTTCCAGCAAGGAAGGCTGAAGGGTCCTGCTCCCCAAGACACAGCTAAAACAGAGGCACCCCAAATTAAGGGCATCACAGATCAGTCTTCTAATAGCCTGAAAACTCAGTGTTAAAGAGTTTCCTTAAGAGACATCTCAGGCCAGAGACACCTAAAAAACATCCACAGGAGTGGAAGAGCTTGGCTGGGAAGCTGCAGTTTTCAGGAACTTTAATAGATGCCAATTGCTCCAACTTCCACTGCTCCAAGCCAAATTAATTTACTTCACACAGCTGTTTTAAACAGCTGAGACAGGGAAAGCTTAATTCTCCTGAACAAGATCATGTTACTGCATTTCTTACCACTATTCATTCCATCAGCAAGATAGATAAAAATCCCTTCCTTTTGAGTTCATATACTAGTGTCAGAACTGAAAAGCTCAGACAGATGCAGCTTCTGATCAGGCCACACTCAAATTCCACTTTGGAAAATAAAAATATTCAGAGTGTTCAATGTAGAGAAGATTTCCAGGGGAAATCAAAGAGCTATTTTTTATTCTTTTGGCAGAAAGAAAAGTTTGTGAGACGGAGGGTCTGCTGGCTCTGGAGGGATTTGGTAGCGAAGGGAGGAATCGCACTCTGGAATTGCTCTGTCTGCCCCTCACGTGGGCTGAAGCAAGGCCCTGCTTCCCGCTCTCCTTACGGATCACAACCATCCGCGGCTGCAGGGAGCTTGCAGAACAGCAAGTACAGGCAGAACAGCAAGTACAGGCAGAACAGCAAGTACAGGCAGAACAGCAAGTACAGGCAGAACAGCAAGTACAGGCAGAACAGCAAGTACAGGCAGAACAGCAGCCCTCAGTGACAACCATTCAAGGTGTTGCACCCCTTCATGCACGGCCGCCTCGGCGGGTTGGGGCTCTCCCAGCACCGCATGTCCCTGCACGTCCCTCCCTGGGGACTTGCCAGCTCTCCTTGGGGACTCGCCAGCACGGCTTCTGCTCAAGCTGCTGGGGCACACACTGGGCTCCAGGTCCGTCCCAGCTCCTCCACCTGGGCATGGTTGGGACATAGACACCGTCCTGAAGCCATCAGCCCTCCCTGGCCAACACCCAGGACAGGGTCCCGACCTTCCAGGCCTATAGGCATTAGCATGACACATCCCAGCGTGATGGCCTTGCATAGAAAGGATCTTCTTCCCAAAGAGACTGGGAACAAGGACTTTTATCCTCCTTAGTTTGCACTGACAGTGCGAGCAAGCGCCTGTGTGACCCCCTCTCCTTCCCCAGCACCACAATCGCTGGACACAGCGCTGCTATTGAGCGCTCCGAAGCGCCTGGAGCCAGACACCTTCTTTCTATCTGTGCCAAAATAGCATCCTGTCATTCCTGGCCTCGTGCCCGTGATCCGCTCCGACGCGGAGCGCGCGTTACAACCCGGTCCAATACAGGAGGTGGCTGTTTCCTTGCTAAGCGCAGTTCTGTGCCGCCAGCTCCGCGGACGTGCTGGCTCCGAGGGGAGCTGCAGATCTTGGCTTTGCCGCTCGGAGCCTCGTTCCTCAGCTCCTGCCATTCCCCAGCCATCGTGTGGGCTCCCTCCGGCTGCTGGGAGAAGGGGTTTTGCCAAGGGCTCTCAATTCGAGATCCTCATTCTCTAGGGTTGTTCTGCTACTCCTGCTCTGAGCACATCCACTCAAAGCTGATCAGAACAGCCCTGACTACAGGAAAAAAAAATAATAGTATGTGGGAGGCAGACACCTATACTGAGCACCAAAAATGTCTCAACTTGATCATCACTTAAGTGCTAAACATCCACCGTAGACACTGGGAAGTCCCTGTCACCTAATCACACCATCCTGCAAACAGAAAGAGTAGCAAAAATCAGCTGAAGAGTCACCTACTTGAGGGACAGGACCAGACTCAATCAGTTATGTTAAGGCTCATGATGGAAACAGCAGTCATGACAGCATCTCAGTAGATAAATGTATGGACTCAGATCTGCTGCTTCATACAGAATTTACAGCCATTTGATGCTCCATGTCCGAATAAGCTGAATATCCAAGACTTGCATCCCATCACCCCGCTTTTTAACCAGCTTCAAGACTCAAAAGCTGAAGAGACAAGAAATTCAGTATTTTCAAACAAAAACAGCAAAATAGTTCATATCTTATTCCTCATATCTGACAAGCCAAACCACAAGAGACTAAACTGTGTAGACTTCCACTCGGATCCAGCTTGGTCCAAACTTTACCAGTGCCCTGGAAATACCCTGTTGCGTGGAGATGTTTACTTTGACTTCAAGAAAACCAAACAAGACTTATCTAACTTAAAGCAACTTCCTCCTCAAGTATCATCACAAGACAAGGTCCATAAACTCCTAGTTGCCCTTAACTCTGGGTTAACAAGGGCGTTTAAGCAGCATGAGGTGCTATCTGATTCCTTTGGCCTGTGGATTTAGCTCTTTACCCTTTAGCAAGGCTTTGGGGTTATTTTAGGGGATTTATTAAGATTCGTCACAGGTGAGTTTCGGTGCTTAGTGCCAGCTTGTTTGTACCTCACGTCACCAGTGCCACGGGTTTGCCGTTGCTGGCCCGGACAGACACATTCTGCTCCCAACTAAAGGAGTCCGGCGTGTTGCAGCCTGTGGGCTGACACAGTGCTGGAATGCAGGGGAAAACACACTACCCTTTTCATAGCAGCCTTGCCAGATCTATCTGTGCCAGACATAAATCCAGATTTTAATCCACTTCCTTGTGCTCTTCCTCCACCCCACCCACACGCCTGAGTCAGTGGGGCCCAGCGGGAACCTCTGCGTTTGGGAGATAACGGACTCGTCCGCGCGTTTGGGCGGCCAGGCCTATTGCTAAGCTTAGCTATGAATCGACATCCCTCTTGGAAGGGCTGGCACAAGCTGTGCTGGCTGCAACACTCAGCTCCACGCTAGAAATCAGCGCTTCCTGCTCTCAGAGCCTCCTTCCTCAAGGATGGGACATTCCCACTGGATAGGACAGGGACAGATCTGCCCATTGCTGCCTGCAGGGGATCGTGGAGGCTCCTCCATCCAAGGCAGGCGGCTGTGCTCCCTGCAGAGGCACTCGAATTGCGCCCGTCAGAGGATACCTCGAGCACTACGGACACAGGAGCTTGTCAGCAATCCGGACAGATCGCCGAGGCGGCAGCCCGGCTTCCCGCACGCCGCCTTCCCATGCCCTGCTTGCTCCCTGCAGTGCCATGGTAACAGCACACGTGGTCCTGGCCGCCATGGCTCCTTTCCAAGGGGCCACTAGGGATGCGGAGATGCCGCTTGGCTAACGTGAAACCTCCCCCTCCACCAGCCCTGCGCGGGGGGTTGTACTCACGGTCGAGCCCGTTCAAGTAGCGCATCCGGATTTCGCAGTGTCCCCACACCGCGCTCACCACTGGATACAGCTTTTTCCCCTTGAGTCCCCGAAACGCGACGCCCATGTATTGCCCGTCCACAATGAAGCTCAGCGTCCCATCGTCCATGTCCAAGACGACCAGGAAGGAGTCCGGCACGATGAAGGTCTCATCCGGCTCCAGGAAGGCAGGGTACGTTTTACTCGGCTGGTTCTTCCCGTCGTGGTACAGCCGGTTGCGCCCCAGGTCCCACCCCCAGGACTCGTGGTTGTTTCCCACCAGCGTGGTGTAACCTACGGAATGCAGAGGGGCGTCTGCGGTGGCCACCCCGACCACGGCGTGGGTGCCCCGCTGCCTCATGGCCCACGTGATCTGCCACACGTGCAGTCCTCGCGTGTACCCCACTTTGCCTCGGATGGCGTCTGTGCTCTGGGCCACCGGATGCCGGTGAAATATGAGCTTGTCATCCTCCTTCACAAAGACATTCAGCGAGCGGTCGTCGTTGTTCCACGAATGCAATAGCTGGACGTCATAGGACACCGGGGGCATGTCCAGGAGCAAGTCCAGGCGCGTGGGTTTGCTGTAGTCGAGTCCCTGCAGCTCCTGTTTCAGCGGCCTGTACACAGGGTCCCTCATGTCCACAGTCTTGATCCCACCGGTGACCTTCTGCCCCATGGCGTGCTCCGCTCTGGCCTATCCCTAGGCTCCCCAGGCAAGCTCATCAATCTGCCCTGCTGCTCCTGCTGTCATTCGGCCCCGCGGAAGCTGCTGGGAGACCTTGTCAAGATGTGCACTGGTCAGGACTGCCTGAGGGACAGAAAGAGAGAGTTAAACATTAGCACGTACAGCCCTGCGAGCAGCATTTACACAACACGCGCCCTGTTTCACCCGCCAGCTCCTGTCCGTGCAGGGAGGAGGGCAACACAGCACCTATGCAGCACACCCTGCACATAGAGATTCAGATAATCTAGTGCTTTTTGGTGCACGTGCTGCATCTCTGATGCCCCCTTCAGAAGACACCTTGAATTTCTGCTCTGCTGCTTCAGGCGGGTGTGGGCTCAGAGCCACCAGGGCTGGTCTTCCCCATGCAGCAAATGCACTGCTGCTTATTGCTGCACCATTAAGTACAGCTTTCATGAGGCTGACTCCAGCTACACCTGGTTGCACATCACCCACATGCTGTCCAGGCTGGAAGAAACCTTCCCCTTAAGTTTTCCACGCAGAAGACTTGAAGACTGATACACAGTAATGTTAGAGATTTGCATTCCTCCTGATGGCCTTGATAGGCATGAAAACTGCAAACAATTTCTTTTTTTCTAATATAGTTTTGCCTGGCTGCAGCTCTAGCTCGCAGCACAGGCCAGGCTGAGCAGGCGTCCCCGTGTGCACTGTTCCCCCACGGCAAGCATTGCACATTGCAGTCACGCAGAGGGCTTGCCTGCTGCTGCCATCCATAAATATTTTTCCCTTGACACTTAAGCAGCTCAGGAAAATACAGAGCATTCAAAACCATTACCCAGCAGCAGCGATCAAGCAAAGTGGGAGTCAGGAAACAAGAGAAACATTTCTCCACCTGGAGAGTTACAAACCTTGCATGGATCAGGCAGCAAAGCTGCTGGCAGTCACTGGCACAGGTCTGAGGAAATAACTCCCTTCAACCCCATTCCAGCTTTGCAAAGTACCTCGGAGCCCTGGTTGTGCAAGTCCAAAGCAGCAAACAAAATCCACTGTGCCCAGTGCTAAGGGACCCTCATGGCAGCAGCCCTGGGCAGCGCTGCTCCCACTTCACCCCTTTGGAGAACAGCTAAGAAGCCTCCGTACAGCTCGTCTCAATGAGCAGCATCAGTTGGGGCAGCTCCTCTTCTCCAAGAGAGGGAGGAAAAAAAAATATCCCAGCTTAAGATGCAGAGCTGAGGGGGAGGAGCAAGATTCTCCTCACATTTTAAGCAGTTTTCCTTCCAAATCTCAGAAATCTCAAAGAAAGCTGCAGCCAGTTTGCCTGGAGAGGCTGGCTCCCTTTGCATACCTTTCCCCCCAGGACAGCATCCACCCAAACAGCTCTGCTCTCGCTCAGCAACACAAACAACCCTCTGTCCGACCGCGCCAAACTGGGGGCAGCTATTAGGAGAATTAAAAGTGGGAGGGGAGGGAACTAGCTTTCTAAGAAAAAAAGTGTTATTTTAACATTTCCTGGAGTGAGGCAATCGCTCAGGGCTCCTGCCAGCTACAGTCACAACACTTACTCACAAGCAGGACCTCATCTGGCATGGAAAACAGAGCATGAATCAGATCTGGTTTAAAAATAAGGTTACCGGACACAGGCAGCAAAGCCTCAGTTAGAAGGTGACAGGGAATGATTGTGTATGTTCTGTGTTCAGGATTATATCACCAGCTTCCCTGCAGCTTTTGCTAGTAGTCTGGGGAACACCCTGAAACAGGGAGCTCTAATCAGAACCCAAGCATTTCCAAATCAGAATCGATTTGTGCTTAAACAAGCTTGTTCAAGAACCACAAAACTACTTTCTTCCTTTCCTTCCCTGCCTTTTTTTGTCAAGTGTGGGGAGGAAAATCCTTGAGGTGCTGTAAAGGACACACTACTGGGCAGCAATATAGGCACTGCAAAGAGCAGCAGTGCAGCTATTCCGTGACCTCAAGCACATGGCACGGAGCAGCAGAAAGCGGTTCATTCAGCAGCTCCCACTTAGATCCAACCATGTTAGCAGCTGATAAGGAGGAAGGAAAAACCCTGTGGGACCCTCCAGTAAAGGCCACCACATCCAAGCAAGTCCCCAGTAATCCAAGCCAGGGACAGCTGAGAACAGGCAACTGCAAAACAAGTTGAGCGGTGGCACAGACACCAGATCTGAGCAGCACTTAGACGTCCTTATTAATTTCCTAGCTTCTTCTTTCCAGTTTGCTGCAAAGATGATACTAAAGCTGCTTTTAGCTTCTAAGCATGAAAACTTCATAAGTGTGCTTTGCTTTCCACTGCCAGAACTGGGCACTACGGGAGAATATCACCCCAAACACAGATGGGGGGCACTGAGTGGTTCTGTCCCACCGCTCAGAGAGCATCTAGCACCAGTGCCTGGGCCCAAGCATTTCCAGGACACTTTGATACTCCCGGCCACTCTAAGGACACAGTCCCCCTTGCTCTCTGGGGGCCTAAGGAACAGCAGCAGCTCAAACCAAAGGGAAAAAAAAAAAAAAAAAAAAAAAAAAAGCAAGCAGACATTGACACAGATCCAGCTGCTGTGGTGCAGGTCCACACAAACCATTGCAGTTGCCTCCTACAGATGTTATCACAACAGCAGCTACAAACTCATCATTGCAGTTGCTGGATAACCCCTTCCAGCTCGGCCCGTCCACTGCATGCAGCAGCCCCAGGGTTCCACAGCAGCTCTGCACCCTCCCCAGCGCCTCATCTCGGAGCCTCGGTGCTTGCGTGAACTCAAGGGCTCCGTTTGGACACCTCCTCCGTTCCAGTCATCTGCTCCGGCTGGGAGAGAGCCCATCGGGCTACCGAGAGGGGAAGGTCTGATTCATCCCCTGGTTCTGCAGGGCTCGGACAGGGGCTGTCAACAGGCGCTGGCTACAGCGCTTGGAAGCCTACAGGCAAGTTCAGCTGTTGGAACATCCATTAGGATGAAGGAACAAAACATTGGCAGAAAGAGGAGAGGCAGAGATTTCCTGAGAGCAGCACAGTACATGTGAGAACACTGCGGAGGAAGCAATAACCAAAACAGAGCAGGCTGCCAGGCGGCAGGATTGGTGCAGATGGCTCCGGAGAAGCGTGTGCGGGTCTGTCCTCCAATTCAAGTTACATGCCCTGTTCATTATGACTTTCTGCCCTCATCAGCACAAGCTTCAGCGTATTTGGAGGCTGCTGCACCGAAGAATCAACACAGCAGAAGAGCAGAGGCGCTTCCAAAGCGCGTTTGGCAAGGCGCTGCCTCTGCCTCCTCCGAAAAGGAAGCAACCTTTCCCGAAGACAAGGATTATGCGTCACATGCCTCAATTACGAGTCTTTCCCCAGGCAGGCTATTAACTCTAAATGAAGTGTTAGAGTCAGAATAAAGACGGAGAGAGGTGGAAGGCAAGAAGAGCAGAACAAAAGGGTTGATCAGAGGGAGAACAGGGCAGGTACTGAGCTCTATGCACCACTGAGGTGCAGCCTGGCTCCTTACCAGGGCAAGGCAGCAATTCCCGCTCGGGGCCGGCTCCAGGGCTCCTGCTCCTTGCCCTCTCCTTGCAAGGAAAAGCTTCTTCACGCGCAAGATAACAGCAGGATGGAGACGCAGCTCCAAAGTTAATGGATTAATGTTGTGGGCAGCTTGATTCGAGATGCAGGCAGCCAGAAAGAGAGACCCACTGGGGAATCAGCTACTCGAAGCCTTTGAATGGTCAGAGGCTTAGGTACATATGCAAGCACTGAAAGAGCTTTTTAATCACATCAACAGTTCAGGTTTGCTGGACTTCTGCTCCGCTTCATAAACATAACTCCATCTCCATTCTGCACCATTTTGTTCCCAGGCTATTTGCAGTTTTACTGTTAACCTTCCAGCCATAAAAGCTTTGGAACAAAACTAGGATAGTTGTCTCAAAGCGCTCACTGCTTTTTCTGGGAGAATTGGATTCCCCGCTCCGGTTGGGCTGTTGGGAGCAAGCAGGCAGCCTGCCATGCTAGGCAGACAGGCCGGGTTTCAGCACAACTGCTTGCTGGAAAGAGATGGAGGCAGGAGACAACTGACACCTTAATGGAAGGTGTCAAAGTCCCTGCTGCTGAAGGGGAGAGAGCAGCTTTTACCAACATGGAAATGGAGAGGGAGGTCAGAGCCAGAGATGTGTCCAACCCTTCTTCTATTGAGGCTTGGATGCGAAGCAGGCGAGCTGAGTGCCCACCACAACCTGAAGCTGAGCTGGTCATCCTCATTTAGTTCCTCTGGCTCTTGTCCCACACCTTCCAAAGGCTGGTTGCTTTTCCCCCTCTCCAGTCCACGATTCCTCCCCTCATTCCACTGCAGACCACAGTCCTCTGCCAAGAGTTAAAGCAGTTTTGCCTGGATGCAAGAGCAGAGCCACCCTCAGCATTCAGGGCCACCTGCACCCCCTTGGCTAGAACCCAGCCAGGTTCCTGCTGCACGGGTGGCAGAATGGACTACCCATAGCAGTACATGGTGTATGAATCAAAAAAGCTAAAACTTGACTGCAGTTATTTCCCTGGGGCCTCCAAAGCCTTGTGCAAAGCTTAAGGTTAGTCCAAAGATTCACCTGTGAGAATCCTCATGGCTAGATTCAAGGAAAGTCATCCCCATCCAGAACAAGGCTGCTCCTTGCTGTAAGCCTGGTCACCTCATTGCTACACAGCCCTGACCCGTTCAGCTCACCTGAACACACACTGGAAATGCAACCCCAGCTATCAGTGCAGTGGACTTGGGCCAACAAATTCTCACCCGAGGTGCCCTCCTCGTGCCGTCTAAGGCCAAAAGGCTGTTCCCGTGTCAGCCTTATCACATTGAGGGAGGTTATTTCAGGTGGCTACATCTCAAAGTGACACAGGGATTTTAAAAGGCCGCTGTGCAGATCTTCAGCTCTATTGAGGAGCTACTTCCATAGAAACAGTCCTTAAATCCCAGTCCAGCATCTCCCCACAGGACAAAGTCTTGGCACTAGGGCCTCAGTATCTCTGCTGGTTCTATTAACCCTAACTCCCCCAAACTAAATCTTGAGCTGTTGAAGGTTCCACTTGGACTGGATGGTGCAAAACCTCAAAACCCACAGAGCAACCACCCACCTGCAGCA